ATGAATATTTGATTTAACTGGTGTTAGAAGTTGATGCTTGGGTATTTGTAAGTATTACAGTTTTAACTTTCGTTAAAAACACATTTTCTTTTAGGCATAGTTATTATTTTAATTATTATTTATTACTTATTAGTTCAACTGATATGATAGATTGTAAGATATACACAATAAATGTTCACACACGAAATATAAATATTTATATAATATAAATATTTTCACCGACACTACGAGAGATATCATTCTATTTACAAATAATATATACACATATTGTGCTATAATATTATTATGTCTCTCGTCGGTCGCGACGTCGTGATCGTAATCGTCTGTATGCGGGCTGTGATCCTTTACGACGAAAACCAAAAATAACTTTATATTCGAATAATCGAATTCGATACTTACAAATCGGTTATCGTAATAATATGGCAAAAACACCATTACCTATTCTACAAAATATGCATAATTATATACGATATACATTTACTCCGTAGACCGTAATTGATATTTAATACAGATAGATGAAGATTACCTATATTTTTTATATTTAATTTTTTTTTTTTACATATTTTCTATTATATGAAAAAAACGGGACAATATAGCGTCCCGGAAGCATATGTCGGGACAACGGGACAGACTTTTGAAATACGGTACTTTCCCGTATAATACGGGACGTCTGGCCACCCTACCCATGCGGGCTCTGGGCGGACTATACCAACGTGTTAAAATATATAGTATTATCAAAAACTGTTTTCTATATAATTGTTTACTATAATATTTATAGGTAATGACTATAAATTATAATGAACCAAAATAGATTGGTATACTGAATATCATATACGATGTACTATATGTTTGATGTTTTTAATAAAACACTACAAAATTTGCCGCCCCCCAAATTTTGCCGCCCTAGGCAGCTGCCTACAATGCCTAATGTTAAATCCGCCTCTGATGATACTTACCTATTGAAAATAAAAAGGTTATACAAATATATAATTATATAAGTATTCTTAGGATAAAAATACACCTTATGATACTTACAAGATTGTTGACCATAATTAGGATTAGGGAACACTGGATAAGGAAAAGATTGGATTGTGACAGCATTGTTTTCAACTTCCTCAATTATTTTACAAGCAGACATATCTTTAAAAATTAAAAAAGTCCTATTATTTTATTCTAATAAGATATAATTTAAAATTTCTAATTTTTATCCAAATAAAAAAAAAAAATGGTATATATTATATATTTATATAGGATGTAAATTTTAAATCTTACTATTTTCAGCAGAAGTAGTAGGATGAGGAGCTTCATTTATTTGGAAAGAACAGGAAGGGAAAAGATCGGGACTTGATGGAGTTTTCTCCAATAAATCATCTATGCTCTCATACGCATCAGTAACTAATTGCTCTAAAAGTATTTAAAATGAATATTTAGTACAAATTTAATGCAACTTGTGATCTAGTACATAAATATTGTGCCAATAACTAGTTCAAAAATATCATAATGTACCTGGTTCAAATGAAAATTGTGCATGTGATGCAGAGAACATAGTATGACCTGTTATTGCAACAGGCTTAATTAGCTGGAGGGCACTTTCCTCAACATCACTCAATACCGTTTCAGTTGGTGGTAAACCTCCAGTACCCCTACGTGCAAAGTTAGACATGGCCGCAGCTTTACTTTTTGTAGAAGCTTTGGTATCTTGCCAAGTCTAAGAAATAACAATCCAATTAATAGTATAAATGAAACTTTCAACTAATTAATATTTGAGTAGGTACGTACCTATACGATTTTCAATTTTTGATTAGTCTAATTTACATAATATATATTAGTTAAGATTCTTTTTTTGTACCTACAAAATATGCTAAGAAAGTGGTATTTCAATATTTATACTGTATGTGTTTCATAAGTATTCAAAAAATACTAAATAGTAAATAAAAAAATTTACTAAATAAAATATAACTCAACAATCTAAATTATACGCCATGATACCTACTGCCAACTTATCTAAATAATAACTTTTACTTTTTATTTTATACAAAACATACTTTACGCCACTTGGTCCAGCACTTATTGACGCCGGGTAAAGCATTAAGCGTTTCCGCGATTGCTTCGCAACGTTTTTGAGCAACCTTTTGAGTAAACATGGCCGTAAACTTCCCAGACACAAGTTGAGGGTCAAGTCTTAACAACTCAACCAGCTCTTGCATCTGTTGTTGGGTCGGGCGTGATGATACTTTTGCCATTATAATATCTTGTAATATATAATATATATCATGAAAACAATTTCAGACAAAAGACAAAATAAACCTTTTAATCAAATAAACAGTATTATTTATGCATTTCCTTAAATACTATAATAAACAAAATGTATCGATTAGATACATCTAATCACGAGATATATCTTAATTCGTGGTATCAATATATCATATTTTAGCGGGAATATTTCTGATAATAAATTAATTTTTTAGGTTATACTATTGTGGTTCACTCGACAAGATTATTACTAGTCGACATAATCTCGAATGCGACTAATTTTAGTCGAATGCTTTTGGAGAATAGCATTTTGCAGTCGACTACGACATAATCATTCGAGTTTAGTCGCACACGACTTCTTGTCGATCGATCTCAAGAATAAGATCCCTGGTAGACTGCTAATTTATTTATTTTAGTGGAGTAATGCCACTGTACAAATTGCTGTTAACTATTTTTAATACATAATATTATAGGTATTTTTATGTCAAAACTTTTAAACAATATTTAATAGTTGTGTAAATTATATTCTATTATTAGTCAATATTCATGCAATTGAGGTTGTATTTGTTTTACTCATTGTAGTCTATTGATTCTAAAATCTTTTAATGACGTTGTACTGATTGAGTATTTCTTTATTTGTTACACACTTTAGACATCCTATGCAATACCTACCTCAGGTCATTAATTTCACTGACATCCTTAGAACCCTTATAACTATTATCTTATTTGATCCTCACACCACACATATAATTTATGGTGTTGTAATAGTATGAACTATATGTATTGGTAACTAATAGAAATTAAAAAAACCATTCAGACCGTACGCGCAGTACACACATAGTCATTTAAAAATATAGTTGGAAAGGAAATGGAAAATAAAATATAATTGTAAATAAAATAGTCATGTTTTGAAGTCATTAATTGATTAGTTTATTGAACATCTGAAAAAAATATAAAGAACAAACGTAGAAAATCGTTTGTTGAGAAAAAATGTTCCTGTTAAAAACTTACTTCTCGCTTACTTCGCTTCTACTCTCGGCACCTGAAAATAATATGTTTGATTAGAATTATTAATTTCAAAAACTAAAGTATTTATATTATATCCTTACATCGTTTTGCCCCAGCTTCATGGGAGGCATCTTCATAGGAGGCACTCATTTCCTGAAAATGAAGTGTTCAATTAGAATTATCAATATCAAACACTTAAATATATAAATATATCCTACGGCGGTTGGCGGTGGCGTATCGCACTCCTCGAAGTAGAGATCCTGAAAATAATTTGTTTAATTAGATTTACATAGAAATGTAATTGGATTTATTTTTAAAAATATTAATAAATCCTTACGTTTGATGATGCCCGTGATGCTGGAGAGGGGCCTTCGATGGTCATCTCCTCTGCCACCTCCCCGCCACCTACCACCATCACGACCATTTCCGCCGCCGCCACCACCACCTCACCCCTGGGCTTGGCTACAATATAAATTACAATTGTATACAATATAATAATAAGACTGTTATTAAGGAATATGTAAAATAAACACTCCCCGCAATCCCGGGAGAGGTGGCCCTCTCTTCTGCAATTGTAACATTCTGAAACGGGTAGATATTATTATTTTTTTTTTTCATTAGCTAGCGCCTATGTCTACTGACGCTCCTACTTGCACTTTGATGTCTACGATTATTGGCGTGTTGATTTGCATTTCTACTAGAGGACCTCAGCTGTCTTACACCCTGATCGGGTACATTAAGTCTGTTGGATTCATCAGGTTGAATAGGTGTAGAATCTGAATCACTACTAGAGACACTCTTAATGTGATAAATATTTATTAACTCATCATGTTCCATTTTAAATAATCTTAATGCAATTTTATATTGTTGGAAAAAAAATGAACCGTGTGAAAAATTCAGGAGAGAAAATAATATAGACGTTTGTGATGGGCTTGCGAACAATATAATCGTTTTATGCGATTTAAAACAATAAAGATGGTTTTACTGGTTTGTGACGCGCGTGCTGCTTATCACAATATTAATAATTCTCAGTAATACGGCCTACGGTCAGCCACCACGGCGGGTTGTTACTATACCTAATCGAGTCACCTGTTTCTAAACTAAGAACGTTCAAAATTTGTTTTATGTGTTCTATTGTATACGACAATACTAGCTCTGTATATTTAACAATAGTTTCGGTATCGTATGCTGTGTATCGCAAGTGTCTACTCGTCATAAATCATAATGCATAAGCTACCCCATAAGTTTTATAATAAAATAAAATATGAATAAACACACTACACCGTATAAATGTACAAATATAATAATATATTTAATAATATTTAATGTAATTTATTTTACTATTTGTAATACAATAGGTTAGTACAACTTTAGTAGTAGATATTTGTATGTTCTGGGCACCTTTTTTACAGAAAGATTTCATCAGTTTAAGGCGGATATTTCTACATGCTCCACCGTGTAACACACACCTAATCTTAAAAAGTGGAATGTATGTTCACAGCAATTTTGCGCAGCATTTAAATTTATTTAACCATTTTGTAATATGTAATACATTTTTGAGAAATTATCAATACACTTTTTGAGATTATGAGTTACACGGTGCAGCATGTAGAAATGTCCGGCTTAAATTGATGAAATTTCCCCGTAAAATAGTTGCTCAGAACATACATTACATAGTTGTCAAGACCGAATCGTTTCAGTTGTCATCATCGAAAATTCGTCATTCGCCCGCTCCAAACATGGGCAACCATCGAGGAGGCACACGTCGTAAGAAGACTGACTCGCCAGCTCACATGCAGCTCCGACACCGGGATGCACCTCAGCGGCCAGAGCCAAAATCGCCTACACCTTCATCTGCTTCGACCAACACCGAAGATAGCCTCAGTACTGATTCATCTTCAGACTCATTTTCTCCTGAATCAATGAAACATACAGAAGACGCGAATAACACTCGACGATTCTATAAAGGAATCAAAAACAAGAATACCTCCCATCATACTCAATCCAGATCAATGGAAAACCAGTGCTCCAAAAATCATGCCTAAATACACAAACGAACAACTACGTGCTACTTTCTATAACAAATTCTTTCCGCCTTCAGGCCTCTGACTCTGACATCTTTCGGGATGTTTAGCAAACGCTTACCGAACTCGATATCAATTTTCACACATTCTCACTTCCGTCCGAGAGGACCCTCAAAGTTTTGCTGCGAGGCATACCAAATTTCTACTCCGAAGACGAAGTAAAAACCGACCTAGAAATACTAGGATTCAACGTTACCCACGTACGGCAATTCCTCAAGGAGGGCAGAAAACTACCAATGTACATGATCACTCTACCATGCACCACCGACAGCAAAGAAATCTTCAACCTCGACCCTCTATTCTACGTCCACATCAAAGTCGAACCGTACAAAACTACCGGGCCGGCCCAGTGCTTTGCTTGCCAGGGTTTCGGCCACTCCTCGTCGCACTGCAATCACTCTGCCCGCTGTGTAAAATGTGGAGACAACCACGCTACCAAGTCCTGCACCAAGTCTCCCGACCAACCACCCAGATGCTGCAACTGCAACGGAGAGCACACGGCTAACTACCGGAAGTGTCCCGCCTACACCAAAGCAGTCTCTCTGAAGAGAAAACACCCTCTAGAACTACAACCTGCCTCTACACCGCAAGCCACAATCATCCAACCCACGTCGCCAACATACGCCCAAGCCTGCTCACCACCAAAGACTGTTCAATCTCCTCCTGCCACGAACATAAACAAGACGAACTCGGACGTGATAGAAATTCTGAACCACGCGATCAGCCAAATTTCGACTTCGTCGAACTTCAAAGATACCATCCTTCTGGCCATCTCAGCCATAGTCTCACTCATTAACCAAAATGACTGAGCAACTAAAAATTCTACACTGGAATTGCCAGGGCCTTGGCAATAAAAAATTGGAGATTCTCCAATTCATACAACACCACAAAATTCACATCATCCTGCTCAACGAAACCCACCTCAATCCGAAAATTGCTTTCAAACTTCCAAATTATCACACCTACCGAAACGACCGCGCAACTCTACCAGGTCAGAGGAGCGCTGGAGGCACGGCCATCCTAGTGCTCAACAGGCTCATCCACTACGAAACTATCATCCCGACCAACTCTATCGAGAACACCACTGTCCAGATCCAAATCAACCACCACGAGACTAGGCTTTCAGCCGTTTACAAAAGACCAGGAACAATCCTCCATACGGCAGATATCGACCTCCTGCTGGACACCGAGTCTCCGACCATCATCGCGGGAGACCTCAACTCCAAACACCCAGCGTGGAACAGCAGATTGGCCAACCAGGCCGGCCTAGCTCCCAAAAATCACATGAATCACCGTGACTACATTATCGTCGCGCCCGACTCTCCGACTCGTATCCCTGACCAGCAAAACCAACTACCGGACGTTCTGGATATTGCAATTTTAAACAAAATTCATCTCACATACGACATCGTCAACTTTACCGACGTTCTATTCTCGGACCACAACCCGGTTATCCAAACCCTGCAAGGCAAACCTTCGTCTAGCCAACCAGTAACGACGAGAAAAATAACAAACTGGCCCAGATTCGCTGTGGATCTCCACTGCGCCATCAACAGCCCAAATCCAGTCATCAATTCAATCGCCGAACTCGACCAAGCGGTCAGCAATTTCACAACTCTAGTCAAAACATCCATGACCAAGAACACCACCGTTCTTGACAGTTAAAGGAACAAATCCACCTTGCCGGCCAACATCCGAAGAGAAATCGCTGAAAAACGAAGACTCCGAAGACTGTGGCAAAACAGTAGAAATCCAGATGCCAAACACCACTTCAATAACCAGACCAGGGATTGTAACCTTTAAGTTTTTTTCGGTTTCGTTTCGGTTTTTCAAAAAAATATTTTTAAGGTTTCGGTTTTAATTATAAATTTCAAAAATATGAAATTGAGGTTGCGGTTACGGTTGTGGTTTATACCGGTTTTAACCTGTTACAAAAAAAAAAAAAATATTTTAAAATTTTAAGCGATTATAGAACCGTACTAATACAACCAAAAAATATGTATAGGTACCTACAGATAAACCTGGTAGTTTTCAACCAAGTCTAGGGATAGACAGCTCTTTTAACAATCAAAAACCGTATGATAACATATATTCCAACTTAAAATTACAACTAACAAACTTATGCTTTAGTATTTACATTTTAACTTAATTAACAATTATTGTTGTAAACTTCATTAATGTGTTGACTATTGACGACAGAGACGATTAAAATATCACCACAACTCAATACAAAAACTTTCAGATGATTGATGTTGATTGTTGAGGGTAAAGATTCTAAATTGGAAGGTAGGCGTAGGACTCATTTTGGTTTAATATTAATACTTATTAGTATTATAATTCTCAAATAACAGTGCCGAGGAATAAGAGTCTATTATGATTTGGGTTGAGACTTAAAAATTAATAAAATATAATACATATTTTATAAACTTTCTTTTACAAGATTTTATATTTTAACAATATAATAATAATTTTTATATTCATAAAATACATATTATTATAATGTAACAATACTATTTTTTTTTTTGCGTTTTGAAGATGGGTTAGTAGTTCCAGATGTTTCAGTATGACTTCCTTCCCCTTGACTCATAGTGACCTAACCGAAAAAAACCTTTAAAAAACCGAAAAAATTGAACTTTAAAAATTAGGGTTAGGGTTTTGGTTATGTTTTTTAAACGTTTGAAAATAATGGTTTCGGTTAAGTTACGGTTAATAATTAACACAAGGTTCCCGGTTCTATAACCGGTTATTTTCGGTCCGGTTACAGTCCCTGAACCAGACATCTGTGGTCAAAAACATGATGCACCAACACAGGCAATCCGAATGGACCACCTATCTTGCCAGCCTTAGACCACGAGACCCAAAAGTCTATAAACTTAACAAATCCCTGATAAACCGAAGACCGCCTGACCGCCCGCTAAACAGTCCACAAGGCCCAGTCTTCGACGCCCCTGGCCAAGCTGAACTCTTCGCCGCAAACTTAGTAGTCCAATTCAACTGTCCTGAAGGAACTCCATCCACAAACGATCTGGTCACCAGCTCAATAAGAACCCTACACTCGGCAGCCAAGTCCCGAATCCAACCAGTATCACCAGGAGAAGTACAGCTCATTGTCAAGCGCCTACCACGGAACAAAGCACCCGGACCAGACAGCATATCCAACATGGCTCTCCGTCACTTTTCCGACAAGACCTTGCTGGTCCAATTTTAAACACCTGCTTCAGATTTCAACACTTTCCCGCCTCCTGGAAAATGGCTACGGTCATAATGATTCCCAAACCAGGGAAGGACCTGAAAAATCCAAGCAACCATCGGCCAATATCACTGATCAACTCCATGGCGAAGGTACTCGAGATCCTAGTACTGATCAAACTCAGGAGAACACTGTCCCCGTCGATCAGACCGGAACAATTTGCCTTCCGTCCACAGCACTCTACAACTAACCAGCTGACACAAGTAGTCGACCACCTGACCAACGCGACAAATCGCAGGTAAAAAACAGCCGCAGTCTTCCTCGACTTCGAAAAAGCGTTCGACAAGGTATGGCACGATGGACTACTACACAAACTACTCAAGCTCAACACAGCCCCACAACTTGTCAGTCTAGTCAAGTCATTTTTGTCAAACCGATCGTACTCTGTAAGAGTCGGATCGACTTTCTCAACACTAAGACAACCCGATGCTGGCGTCCCCCAAGGATCGTGCCTATCACCTTTACTATTCATCGCCTTCATCAATGACATGCCTTCCACTCCGGGAACATCAACAAACCTATTTGCGGACTACACCATGTTCATGTCAACCAGCATAGGTATGCAACACGCCGTTGACAAACTCCAAACACAGATAAACGCTACTCTTCCCTGGCTAAAGAACTGGAGACTTACTCTCAGCCCAGAAAAATCCATAGCCATCAAACTCGGAAGAAGAGAACTACAAAATACCTCATTACTGCGTATAAACAACACAGCTATTCAGTGGAGAACAACCGTAAAATACCTTGGAGTTCACCTGGACAACAGATTGACATTCCGTCGTCACGCCATTGAAACCGCAATCAAGGCAAAACGTACCAGAGCAGCTTTATACCCAATAATCAGCCACCACAGTCCTATCCCACTACGAGCAAGACTAAACATATTCCAAATGTATGTGAGGACAACACTCACATACGCGGGACCTGCATGGGGAGCTCAACTCTCCCTAAACAGCTCGAAAAAACTTGAAGCAGTGCAAAACGTCGCTCTCCGTACGATCACAGGCTCTCCGTGGTACGTACGAAACACAACCATCCAGGCTTCAACGCATAAGATATCAGTCCAACAATCAGTCACCAAAGATGCCGAGAACATGTACGCAAGACTGGCAACTTCAAATCATCATCACCTTCGCAACATTTGCCAAACCATCGGCCCTGAAGAAACTGCCAGGAAAAGGCCAAAAGCACTCACGATATAGTGCCCAAATCCGAGATCACATCATGAAAATCGACCATCTACTCCGAGCCAGGGGGCCATAGCCCCGAAACTCGGCAAAAGGACTAATAGTCCCTCCTACCAAGCAATGCAATACATTACACTTTTTAACTATAATTAACTCCGAATTTATGTTATCCTCTGCAGGAGCTTTGTTGTTTTTGATAGTATTTATTATGGACTTAACTTCATCCAATGCAGGTCTTAAGATCTCTGGTTCCGCTGTATGGTAGATTATTTTTTCGTAGGGTATGATGTTTTCCCTCATATTGTTTAAAATTCTCTTAAAAAACTCCATGAAATGTAGGGAAATTTTCTTAGTGTCTTTTATAAGGTTTCCATGTTCGTCCTTTATTATTGACGCTCTTGCTTTGTAGCCTTGACTTACAGACTTGCACTTTTCAAAGAATAATCTAGGCTCCTTTTTTGAATATTTTGTTATATCTTCTATTAGTTTCTTTTCTGCTACTCTTTTATTTTGTCTTAATATTTTACTTGCATGAGATCTTGCATTTTTATATTCTTGTATGTTCTTATGTGTACCGCTCTGTAACATGTTAATTCTGCATAAATTACGCTTCCTGACTGCTTCTCATGACGTGCGTTATTGAACCACTTATTATTTTTCTTTGATCCCAAGACTTGCAAGTTATCCGCGGTTTCATTCACTGTTTCCCTGATCTTTACCCATGGATTTTCAATATCGTTATCATCCTGTGGTACACTTTCCCTATTAAGTATGTCAGCCAATTTACTTTGGTATGCTTGGACTTCTGCTGGGTTTTTTGATTTTTTTCTTTTTTTAACCATATGCTGTTTTTTTCTTTTCCAGCTCACTGACAACTTTGGTACGAAATTGCGATTACCAGGTAGTGGTCGGAATCACCATCTGCTCCTCTATAGCTTCTGACATTGGTTATGCATGTTTTATGTCTCCTAATAACTATTACGTGGTCTATCATCTGGTTCTTAGTTCTTGTGTCAGGAGATATCCACGTATGTTTAAAAATATCCTTTCTCGGGAAAAAAAGTGCTGCTTACTACCAGGTCTTTCGATGATGCAAAATTTATAACCCTCATACCATTATTATTTGATATTAAATGCAAGCTTTCTATCCCTATAATCGATCTGTATAAAGGCTCCCTTCCGATTTGGGCGTTGAAATCCCCTACTAGTATTTTCATGCAATTTCTGGGTTGGATGTCATATATTCTTTCCAGCTCTTCGTAGAATTCATTTTTGATGTCGTTGTTACCTTCTTCAGTTGGGGCATAACAGTTTACTACTATGATATCCCAAAAATTCTCTTCCAATTTTAAAACGCACAGGCGATCGCTGACTGGTGTAAAGCCTTTTACGTGTGGTAGTACTATGTCATTAACCATGGAACCCACTCCGCGTTCATGTCTACCATCAGTCGATCCACTGTAAAAAATGGTGTAATTTTCAGATTTTACACTGCCACTGCCGGGCCATCGTACTTCTTGTAGTGCTACAACTGGTAGTTTGTACTTTTGTATCTGGTCTGTGACAATTTTCATAGCACCCGGCTTAAATAGAGATCTTATGTTCCATGTACCGATCCACAAATCGATTTTTTATGAGAACAGATTGTTGGCCCGTCGCTCAACCCCCAACCTGGAGGACCAGACTACCCCAACCAATTAAGGTTAGGGTAGGGCTACTGCAGAACACCGAACAAGGTGCTCTGGGCGATAGGGATGCCACTTTCCCGACTCCAAACATGACATGCTTACTTGATGAATTATTCTGATGCTCGATCATTTTGACAAATGATTTAGTAAATTGTTCCGATGGTTAAATAGGTTCAAATTTTGGTTATAAAATAAGGAATTCAAATTGGTTAAAAATCAGATAATACATTACTATAACGTTGTATGGGGTCGTACGGACATTGATAGGAACAATATTTAGGTGAATCGGCTTAAGTCCTCACCCCCAATTCACGACTACGGATGATTGGTTAAGTTAGCCAATATCGGTGGCAATACATTTTATATCAAATCTATCGCGAATGCTGCAATAGTTTATTTTGGTTTTCCAAGTATACCTGTGGTTCCTTTGACTTGTGTTAAACTTTAAAGTGACAAAAAAATAACGATTTTTGAATAATTATTCTGTTCCCATGACATGGCAAGTATACACAAGTGACAAAATTCGGTAAGCAAGCTAGAAACGAAGGAATGGGGCTTAAATTATTATAATCTATAAAAACCATAACACTTTAATAGGTCTATATAGACATAGACTTCCTACTTCAGACTTAAATATCATATTATATACAATGTATAATATTTCAACTATAACGGTAAAGTTATATCAAAAATCATGTATTTAACTATTTAAATTTAATTAGGTACTTAATATTAATATGTATGTGATAACTTTTTAGACCAATAACAACAAACACAATACATACCACAACTGTTACAAAACAAGTATAGTTAATCGTGTTTAATAAATAAAAATATTATTAGATCGTAACATTAAAATTTTTCTGAAGGAACCCAGTGACAATGAAATTTTGTTCACAAAAATACACTTTATGAAATAACGATCCTGACCTGTAAATCAAATGCCAAATTCAAATCAAATTTGAAATTTTCTTTTGAAGCCTAACCTGACCTTAGAGTTTAATGCTGCTTGTAAGAAGTAAAAAATTAATTATCAACATCCAACAACTCTATACAACGCCTGAGAGTTTTCCCTGTAAAGTAACTTTTGTCTGTGTAATACAATGTACCTATTGGAAAAGTATTATAATTATGGTGGAAACTAAAATATAAAACATAATTTTCAAATTTTATAAAATTTTGGATTAACAATCGTTTAAATTGCCTATTTGAAATCCCTTAAAAAGTTTAACTATATTTTATGATTTTTAGTGCTATTTCACACTACTGGATGGCGGTAATGTCACTTAAAATTTGGACTCCGGAATTATACTGTCCGGCATAATACGGATTGTGCGTTTATTTTTTAGGGATATTTACGGAGAATGTATTTTATTCTTTCCGGGATAATACGGTCCATGTGTATACATTCCAGATTTCTTCGATCCGTGACAATACAGTCGGATAATTTTTAAATTCCGGAATTATACGGTCCGGCATAATACAGTCCGAATTATATTTCATTCTGGATTTATACGGTCCGTTAGATTATTTTCCGGGATTTTACGGCTCCCTGCGAATTGAATACTCGCTACAGGCTGAGTCCCATATTGCTGGACGATTTTCAAATTCTATAATGAACTTTTCGGAGTCAAAGTGATTATACATGTTAAAAATATTGGCAGCGTCAAAAACAACGTCAACACGCGCCACTGGCAGTGAGTCGAATGAAAAGAATTGTGTTTTTACATTACAACAATATACATTTAATTGGTGTCGCTTCTATTTTGGTCGCGCGTTCAGTATGTCTGGTAGCTCAAACTTCTACAAGTAGCGCGGCCGACTTGGTGGCGCCACCATGTGTGAAAACCTTCATTGAACTATTAATATCTTGTGGTGGCGCAACCATGGTGGCACCGCTCTAGTGACTTCGTGTGAAAGAGCCCTAAGAAGTTGCCTTGAGGCCCGTGATTTGTTTGAAAACCTATAGTTACTGTTTGGTTTTATTGGAAGTAAGTAGGTATAAAAAGATAATTTTGAAACCTCATCGCGCTGATGAACATGGCTCATTACGGCTCATGCGCTCCTCCTGCTTTTGGGCTGATCCCACCTACCCGTGGAAGTGTGGGAAATCGTACTATGACGTCAGCCGTCGTACAAAATTGTTTGTTTATCATAGCACTAATGTTAGTTGTTATTTTGTTAATACTTAATAGTTAATACGATGGTTGATTTACATCGTTACTGTGTTTATTACTTAACTATCATCTAAATTATTATGTTTTAATGGCAACTCCAAAATCAAAAGGCGGTTCATGTTGTGCAGTTGCCTCATGCAAAAATTATTCAGGCAAAGCCAACAATACTGGTAGAACCGATATGACTTTTCACAGGTATGTTAAATTTTTTTTTAACTACATATTAAGCAATGTTAAATTATACATACCTATCTATTATAGTTTTTATACATAATCTAAGTTTATTTTAATTTAAAAGGTTTCCAAAGGATGATTTGCTTCTTAAAGTGTGGTCGAATAAATGTAGGAGAAATGATGTATGGAATCCAGTAAATCATTTATATGTTCTGATCACTTTAAGGAAGATGATTATGTTAGAGATTTAAAATCTGAACTGTCGGGGTATGCTCCAAGAGTCAAATTTTTAAAGACTAATGTTACACCTTCACTTAATTTACCTGATGGTCATGACAAGTGTGTTTCAGAATCTGGTATTCAGCTTCAAAAACGAAAAGAAACTAAATTATTTAGACAGGTGAATATTGTTAAACATAATTGTTTGCTTTTATTTTAAGTATACAATCTGTACCTGTAGGAATGTGCTATAAGAGTACGAGCTACAAACATTACAATGAAACTATATAATTAATGTACCTATTCTATAGTACTATGTCATGTTTATATTTCTTAACTTATATTCTTTGCCTTAAGTGATCCACGTTACAGACTTGTATCTTTATTCATTTTTTTACTTATACAATGATATTATTTTATTAAATCATTTTTATTTTTTTTATTTTAGGTGCATGATGAGATTATCACTTTGGCTCTAAATGGTAATGTACCATCTTCTTCTACTCAACATTCAGAATTTGACCTAGAGCCAACTCAATCATTGGGCTTGTCACAATCTCAAGATTATGAACATCTGTACAATAAACTACTTCTAGAACACGAACAACTGTTGACCATTACAAAATCTGGAGTCGACTACAAAAAAATCAACCAAAATCTACTGTTTCAAGTCAGGGATTTAGAGAAAAATTTAAAAGTGACAAATTTACTTTTAAAAAATACAGAAAAAAGTAAAACCCAAGACATTAATGTACAAGCCAGAAAATATTTGTCATCAATATTCTCCAAAAATCAGTTGGAATTGTGTATGAAGAAAAACAACGTGTTCACTGGTCAATAGATGAAATTTCGAAGGCATTTTCACTTAGATATTTTAGTAAACGTGCCTATGTAATGTCAATGATGTACTGAAATATCCACTCCCTGGTAAATAATATTAAATAACTTATGTCATACATTTAATTTATAATTTATAATTTTTTTCACAAATATCTTAAAATAATTTATTATCTACTCCATTCCAAATTCTGAATAATTATAATTAAAAGAACTAAATGATTTCTTACACATTTTAATAAATATTTTATTATTATAGGATTGTCATCTCTTCAACGATGGGCCAAAAGCATTAATATGAGAAATGGTGTTCTTGAAGATGTTCTTAATATAATGAAATTGAATGGAGATGGCTTGCAGGACTATCAAAAATTAACAGTTTTAATGTTTGATGAAGTTAAAATTTCAACTACCATGGAATATGATGTTCTTCGAGATGAAGTTGTGGGCCCTCATTCTCAAATACAAGTGGTTATGGCAAGAGGCGTGGCGTCATCATGGAAACAACCTATTTACATAGACTTTGATAAAAAAATGACTAAAGAGATTCTTTTTAATATTATTGAAAAGCTTGATAAAATTGGTTTTAAAACAATTTGCTGTGTAAGTGACTGTGGTGGAGGTAATGTTGGTTTGTGGAGAGCCTTGGACATTTCTTATGAAAATCCTGTATTTTCTATTCCAAATGGAAGATAAATAATATATGTACCTGATGCACCATACATTTTAAAACTTATTGGAAACTGGTTGTTAGATACTGGATTTCAGTATAACGATCAAATTTTAAATAAAAAACCACTTGAATCTTTAATCAATACAACATCAACTGAGCTCAGTATTTGTCACAAACTGTCTGCCGATCATTTAACTTGTGAAGGCCCTCAACGACAAAAAGTTAGATTAGCTTCACAACTATTGTCCCACACAACTTCAACAGCACTTCTGCACTGTCAGAACAAACTCAAAGATGATACAAAATTAATTGAAAATGTACCTAATTTTATTGAATTAGTTTATAATTGGTTTGACCTAGTGAATGTATCTCATCCAAATGATAACCGTACACCATATAAACAACCATATGGTAAAAATATAGAAGAACAAAATCTATTACTTGATAAAATGTATGATACATTTTTGAATATGAGGTGTATTGGAAATTTTTCCTCCAGATTTTCCAAAAGGCTATCCTAATGCATATGAATGGGACAAAAGCACTGTTAAAAGTTTTACAGCAAAACGGGTTGAAGTATCTTTTAACTAAAATAAACTTAAATAAACCAAGATGCATTAGAAAATTTATTTTCCCAGCTTCGTTCAAGAAGGGGACTAAATGACCATCCGTCTCCTTTAAACGCATTGTTTAGAATACGTTTAATAATATTGGGAAAAAATCCTGGCATAGTTTCCAATAAGTCAAACACTGCTGATAAAAATGATGAAGAGTTTATGGTAGCAAAAACTTTACAGCAAATTGATGTGAAAATAAATAATGTAAAAAAAATTGAGAAGATGCTGAAAGTTTAACAGATAAAACAAGTGAAAATGAATCATCAAACGATAGTGATGAAAATCAACATGATTTGGAACTGGATGCGACGGAATACCTAGCTGGTTGGGTTGCCAAAAAGTACATGCTGCAATTTCCAGAGCTTGGTTCAACCACAGCAACTGTTAATTCCATCCAAAAAACACATGGACATGATAACTCGGTACCATCATGGATAAATCGTTTACCCTATGGTGGTTTAATAATACCTAGTGATGATTTCAAAATTAAAATGTTTTATTTCAGTTCCTACAATCTGCAAAAAAATATACATACAATTTTAAATTACTTGAACTATATTTTAGTAGTATAATTTCTTGATACTATTCATAATGAACAAAAAATCATTCATAGGAATGGTATAAGGTCGTGTAGCTTTAACAATTTTAGATAACCATAAAATGTTGTCATAAAAAATTTATATTTTTTAATGCATTTAGGAACTAAAATAATTAACTACAACTTTTGGTTATAATCGTTCATCCACCACCACCTCACAGAAAATATGAATGATAATATCTTTCATTCATAATAAATAAGGAATTTTACGATCAGTTTTGTAAGAAAATGTATGAAAGTTGACGAACTATAATATTAAATGCAAAACTTATATTTATCCAAAATAGTGTTTAAACTCTATACTATAATATAAGGACTTGTATATATTATAATTTAAAACACATTCGTAATTTATAGTAATAATTTTGTAATATTATAGAGTACAAACTACAAATAACTCGTCATAATTAATGCGCCGTCTCAAAATGTGTACGACGGGTGACGTCACGGTCACGATAGACGCTGCGGGGAGTCTAAAATGTTTACATGACTATGAGGCAACTTCTATTAACCTATAAACCTTGCGTGCCACTGCCACCAACCGATAGGACCTCCGCGAACCGCGCGAGCCCGCCATGTACTCCCGTTATCAGTTATCATATCTGCGTTATCACATCTCCGTTATTGTGGAGGTGGTGGCGTTGTTGGATGGACTGACTACCACCATTGAACTATATAATAACTGGAACCACGAAGGAGACCAAAATTCGTTGAATGGCATAAAGCTGAAATAAAAATGAAAACATACAAGCACTGTATTATCAAACAAAATGTATTAGTAGTTCTAAATTATATTTAAAAAACAGTATTAAGTCGTATGTAAGTTATGTGCATAGAGAATACAATATATTTATTATAATTTAGACACCTTCCCGTTTTTTTAGTAATCTGTTTTTTTTTTTTTAGTTGTATGTTTGTAATTATCTGCCATTCTTTTCCGTTCATTTCGGCATACAAAACATGAATTACTTTCACCTCCGCGTGATGCATGCTCTTTTTCAGTAAAACCTTTACGTTTATTCGATTTTCTTTAAAATATTGATTTTTTAATTTTCACCAAGCATCATGTCCAGATATAAACAATTTTTTACTATCTTTCAATTGTTATGACATGTTTTTTTCTCTCGATGTAAATTCCGCCGCAAACGCTTTTTATGATGCCCTATCATTCCTGTATACTACAATTTGTGCCTGAAGTCTCTTATACTCCTTCCAAATTTCATGCCTGGTTCACTAAAGACCTAAAAACGCTAGCATTTGATAAAAAATGTGCGCATGCTAAGTACAAATTAACAAGCAACCAGAACGACTACACATGTTTCTCTTATATTCGTGCTCGCTTCAAGTCTGAATCTAAGAAATAAAGCACACCTTCCTCGTAAACGAATCAGCTCTTAAATATAATCCTCGCTCCTTCTGGGACGTCGGTTAGGAAGAGCAAATCACAAAATGGAATGCCAAATTTAGTCCACTTAAATGACTCCTCTTGCACCGGCCCCGAATTGATTTCCAATCTATTTGCTTCACACTTTAACTCTGTCCAATACATTCAATACTAGTAATACATCGATATGCCATTTCTCCAACATGATTTATCTAGCAACCTCAGTATTAACATCGTAGATATTGAAGCAGGTCTGGATAAGCTAAAGAACTTAAAATCAGTTGGCCTTGACGAGCTTTTTGGCATTTACTTATACAATATTATAAATTATATTAGCTTTCCTCTACTGCTACTTTTCCGATGCTCACTTGATGAAGGAGTTTACCCTTCTATGTGGAAAATGAGTTGTGCCTCTCCTATACATAAATCAGGAGACAAATCCGACGCTAAGAACGTTATAGACCGCTATATCTTATCCCACCTAGCTAAACTATTGGACTCACTTGTCCTCCAGAGTATTCAACCATCTGTGAAATCTATACTGATTAATGAACAACATGGCTTCAGATCCGGCCGCTCCTAGATAACGAACTCTATTGTCTTTAACAATTACAGTTGAATCCGCTTAATGGGACCCGTTGGGCCGTGACCTATTTGTCCCCATTAACCGAATAACTAATAAACCGAAACTATTCAAGTGCATATATATACATAATAACTTTATTTAAAAAATTCATAGATATTTATTATACATTAATTGATTTACATACTTAATTAATATTTTGTTAGGCTGCAGAAAATCGTCCATTGTTCTTTTCTGTAATTTATTAAAACTTTGCTGATTGATAAAATCTGCACAAACGTCTAGCGAAGTTGTTGGTGTATTTCCTTTTTCATTTTGCATAAAATATAGTCTAAGCTGATCAATGCACTTTTCTGCTTCTCTTGTAGTAATTTTGACCGGCTGAACATTGTCATCGTCATCGCTCTCTTCATTTTGCAGACTTCTTTCAGCAATTTCATCGAGAATATTATCATAATTTTCATTTTCATTGAAGTATGCACACCATCATCAATTTTTATAAATAACTCCACATTTTCTCTACTCATTGCGCTAGGTCATTTTCAATAGAAACAATAGAAGGAAGAACAATCAGTGGTGTGAAACCGCAATGTGCAAAACAATACTGAATCGTAACAGAAGACACATTTCTCCAGCTGTCAGCAACAAATTGTATTGCTTGTAGAATGTTTATTTTAGAACTTATATCTATAGCACATGTAAATGTAGTTACTAAATTATCTTCAATAGCGTTTAAAATGTGTGTTACCAATAGTCCACGGTAATGAGTTTTTAAATTCTTAATTATCCCCATATCGAGTGGTTGAATGAGAGAAGTAGTAGTAGTATACACGTACCATTCCTAGCGCACCTCAATTTATATCAGTAAAATATCACAAAGAAAACAATGTGCAAAAAGATCAGAAAATTGAAAAGCAATAATAATAATAATATTTTCCACAAAACTTAATTATCAATAATTAAAATCGAAATGCAATAATAATTAAAACATTTTTCACAATACTTATGATATTAATAATTAAAAAAAGAAATATGAATAACTGAGAATTTATTAGAGTTTATGGGCTTTTACATAAAATCTGACGTTCACCTAAAAAAGGGGAACGTCAGAGTTTATAAATAATAGATAATAAAATCGTGGCCGGAAAAACCGGCCAGGATTTTAGATGTCAAAAAAAGCATCTTATATAGTTTTTAAATAATAACTAAAATATTTTTTTAAGATTATTGTTCTATTAAAAATAAAAATTGAAATGCAATAATAATTAAAAAAATATTTTTCTCAAAACTAATGAAATGCAATAATAATTAAAATACTTTTCATAAAACTTATATTATTAATAATTAAAAATCGAAATGCAATATTTCATAAAAATATTTTTCTAATCTTTTTGATTTTGATTTCTAATTAGTGTATTGAGATGTTTTACAAAATCATTTCTATCTATATTTGTTTTATAATGTCCCCAAGCTAATATATCAATACCATTTTCCAAAATAAATCTTTCATCATAAACACTTAAAGCTTTTTTGATTTGTTCTACAGTAAAAATATCATGTTTCTTAGTTCTAAATAATTTTTTTTTAACATATTTTGATTTTTTTGTTAGTAAACAATGTTTAAAATCGTTAAAACATATTTTATTTTCCACAACATTTTTTTTAACACCTTTAGCTTTTTTAATTTCTTTTTCAGTTTCTAAGAATCGATGTGAATATAATTTAGATCTTAAACCTATAAATTCTGTCATAATTTTTCCATTTAACTCATCTTTAAAATTGCCTAAAACTTTTTCGTTAACTAAAGGTAAACCATAAATATTATATTTTGGACAATCTGAAGTGTCAAAATGATCCAACATAATTTTCTTATCTTGATAAAAATCATTAGTTTTTATTTCTAATATTAGTGAGTCTGTATCTGTATATAACAATCTAACTCTAATTTCATATTTTTTCTTTATAATATTATTTATTTATTTATTTATTTATTTATTTATTTATTTAAGTTTTAAACGGGCCAGGCCCAATTACATACATAATAATAATAATAACAACAATCAATCGTTAAAGTAATATACAAACAGAATAATTATAGAGAAAAACAAAAAAGGTATAATATTAATTATTATATAACATACTTATAGCTATCAATTAACAAGTAAGGAATTACAATAATTTTTGAATGAGTTGAAGTTTGGTGATATGAACAGGTCGATACTTAATTTATTTATAGTTTTCATAATTCTATGATGGGGAGTATTGCTTGCGTAATTAGTTACTTCTGTGTTTAGATAGAAAGTGTTTTTAGACCAGGAGTTACGAATAGGGGTATGGAAGGAGAAGCGACTTAGGAACTCAGGACAGTCTATATTTTCTGAAAAAAGTTTATACGAAAAGTACAAATCTAATCGCAGACGACGTTGTTCAAGTGTTTCGAGGTTGAGAATTGTTAGTAGTGGAGTATATGAAGAATGGGGTTCTCTGATTATGGAACATTTAAATGAAAGGAAACGTATGAATTTTTGTTGAATTTTTTCAATGATTTGCTTATGACCCGATTGATATGGAGACCATATTGAGCCATATTCACAAATAGAGCGTACCAAGCTACAGTAAATAGACTTTAAAGCTAATGAATCATCAAAATCAGCACAATTACGACGGATAAAACCAAGGATTTTATTTGACCTGTTAGCAATGTTGGTAATATGACTGTCAAATTTAAGTTTAGGATCGAAATAAATACCGAGGTCTTTAATAGCCTCCATAGTCCGAAGAAGTGTTTCACCATTAAGGTTGTAATCAAATGAAGAAATAACTCGAGCTCTGGAAAATGTAAATATCTGGCATTTCTTAGTATTATAATAAAAATCATACATTAACATTTTAGATAAATCTAAAACACACATTCCTATATATATTTGTTGTTTGAAAGATATTTGTGTTCTTTTCATATGTACTACAGCTAAATTTTCTGTAAAAATTGTCCTTCGATCAAAATTTGGTTTTGCAATTAATTTCTCTACTTTTGATGCATTAGAACATAATCTTATATCAACATGATTTTGAACATTCATCATGGTACGTCCATAAACACTATTGTTCATTAATTTGAAATATTCTTTTTCAAACTCATTCTTAGCTTCTGATCTAAGATTAGTATTAAAATCAATATACACTTTTAACTAAGGAGATTGACTAAATTCTAACACTCTATGAATTTTCTCTATTTTTAAACCTAAATTAATATATAATTGTAGTGTTTCATAATGTATTATATATTTTTTCTTATCATACAAAGTTGTTATACATTTTGGGAGTTGTTTGTCATCAAAATGTCTTTCTGGTGCTAAAGGGAAATCTGATAATCTGAATGTAGATCATGAAGTTCTTTAGTGTAAGATAAATCAACTTCTAAAATATAACCTTTACATGATTAATCAGAAATATTTATTACATCAAAATCATTCAGATTATCAACCCATTTGAAATCTTCAGTAGGTAAATATTTACTCATTACCCAACCATAAAGATTATTTGCATCTAAGTATTGTAAAAATATTGATTCATCCTTTTTTTTAAATTTATCTCCCGTATATTTATTATTTGCTTTTGAATATCTTTGACTGCATTGAGATAAGCCACCTTTGATTCCAGATTCAATCATCAACATTTGATCGACATCTGTTAGTAAATCTAATTTTATATTAGTTATTCTTAGCATGCTATCCCATGCAAATCCAGGTGTTGTGTAATACCACATAGGACAGAGATGGCGAACCTATGACCCGCACACTCAACTGTGTAAAAAGTTACTGGAAAAACCACTGGTCGTAGGACGTAGAATAAAATATATTGAGATTACAAAAATGAAACATTAAGTTTATGGTCAACTAGATTCAACTTTAGAATTTTTAATAAATCCACATAATATTAAATTTGACAAACTTGAACTTAGTTTTTTTGAGTGGTTAAGTATTGAAAATTTAGAAATGGAGTTAATAGAATTTCAGGGAAATAATATTTGGAGAAATAAATTTATTAATTTGAATAATGAGCTGGAAAATAATCATAGTGAAATTGGTAGGAATATTAAATCGGAAAATTTGATTCTTAATGAGTGGAAGAGTCTTCTAAATTCATTTGCATCTATGAAAAAACTAGCTCTTTTTTTATTGACAATGTTTGGATCTACTTTTGCGTGTGAGCAGCTTTTTTCTTCAATGAATTTTATTAAGTCAACTGTAAGAAATCGTCTTGGAGTAGATTTAAGTGAAGCGTGAGTTCAACTAAAATCAACTAGTTACAGCCCAAGAATTGATTCATTAGCCAATAAAATACAGCAACAAATTTCTCATTAAAAATGCATGTATAAAAATTGTATTTTTTAACGTTTCAATATTTTTTATTTATTATAAATTAAATTTTTTTACATACTTACGTGTTACTTATACTTTTGGTATCTAATATATTTGATATATTTGATAATTGTTTGATAATATAATATTTGACTTGTGTTTTTATCATTCAAACCATAGATGTAGGAATTTTTAGGTTTAAAGAAGGATCATCAAACTAGTTGACACGCAAGGAAAACAAAATCCAACCAACATTTTTATTTGACACGCTGGTACAAAAAGGTTCGCCATGCCTGACAAAGTATCTAATTTATAATTTTTTAAAGAAATGTCTTTAAAATGTTCTATTATATCTGCTAACAATAAAACATCAATCTTATTATATAAACTAGTGAACTCACGAAGATTTTGTATACAAAACACTTTCCAAATTTTTGTGAGTTTTTATATTCCTCTATTGTTATATTTTTATCAGTGAGAGAACTATAAAATTTTTCTATATTTGGTAAACATGTTTCATTAAATTTTTCTTCACAATCCATGTACTCATCGGGATAAACTAACTTTCTAGTAACTAAATCTAAATGTTCTTTAGGAAAATATTTACTAAGTTCTTTAAATTTATTTCTTAAATTTAATTTCTAATCATTTCTCAAATTATTTGTGAACTTCTCTAAAGAACTTGGTAAAAATTTTAAAGAATCAATAAATCTTAATTCTGTTTTTAATTTAAAACATTTATCAGAATAAAATTTTTTAATTGTACGATTTTTAATTTTTGAAAAAGATATATATTTTTCCTCATTATTTGGAATTAATTTTATATCATCTTCATCATTCCCAAACTTTTTAATAAATAAATGTGTATTATAACCTAAAAGATTATGACAAACAATTGGGTTAAAATTAGGATTTTTGTAATTGAGATTACATATAGAATGTGCTGCTCCTCTATATTCTCCGGTCATGATCCCGAACATTTATTATATTTGTATTTGTATTTTTTATTTCTTCGTTAAGCTGATATTCATATTTTTTAATAAAATACTGATACTTATCATCATTACATTTTTTAAAATGTTCAATAAGATTTTTAATTATTTTAAATTTATTTTCTAAAATTGAAGGTAACTCATCTAAATGTCTTTCACAAATATGACATTTATCTGATTTATTATAATAATTATTTAATTGTTCTACATTCAAATTTTTCATAGGAACTATTTTATCATATATTTATGAAATATTTTTTTCCTCTAATTCTATACAACTTAAAAATTCCTTAGCTACATTTGGACCAGAATATTCTACAGGAGGTTTATAATCACCATTACTATATTTAATATAATAACAAAAAGTATTAGGTATATGTTTCTGATAACAATTAGTAAAAGTCTCTATATCATTTGGTTTACATGTGTAGATTGGTTGAAGTGTACATTCAAAGTAAAAATAAATCACAAAGGGGATTTTTAAGGAATGATTATAATTTTTAAATTGTAATGTTTTATCATAAGATTCAGGTAGTATTACTTTAGCAGCTTTATTGTTATAACAATAATTTTTGTGTTCATTTAACTTATTTTCTATATCAAAACTATTTAAACACATTTTTCATACAAATCTCTTATGGCCATCTTTTGTTATTTGACTTCCTAAAAGTTTCCATAAATCCTACAATAATAATGAGCTTTATTATTCTTTTTTAGATATAGCAAATCAATATGGTTTTTATTTTCTATTTTAGTTATTTCTAATGGTACAACATGTATTTCATTATCATCATAATTTAAACAATAAATATTAATGGAAATATCCTTGGTTCTTTTCACAAATTTAGAAATATCTGTGGTTTTTACTGGAAATTCAGTATCCTTTAGTTCATTCTCAAATTCATTTTTCCATTTTTTATATTTAGATACTCTTTGTGGATCTTTTTTAATATCTTTACTATGTAAAGCAGAGAGTATTGTCCGAAGAAAACATTTATCATCTTTATTTTTAACATTTATAATAGCATGTTTATCTTTAATATATTTAGGTAATGGAATATATGAAGAACCCTTAAAAGGAACATATTTATTTATATTTATTCCCAAACTTAAAATTTGATGAAGTTTCCATTGAGAATTTCTCATTATAAAATCTTCTTCTTCATTTACAATTTTAATTTTTGCATTTGTTTTTTTAACTCCAAGAATTTAAAATTGGTATTCAAAGGGTTAAGTTAGAATTTTTTGTTAATATATTATGTGATGTTTTAAAACTTTTTTCCTCGCATATAAGTCGTCTTATTACTGGATTAGGTTAGGTTATCTTTAATACCCATATTATTTTTAATAATATAAGTTTTTAATCTATTTTGAAATGCTGTTTCTTCAGTTTTAAAAATAGGTCGAATCATGTTGTTTTTTTCAAACATTTTTGAACCAAAATTGAAAACTGAAAATGTGGTTTGTTTAACATCTCTCTTAGTATTCTTGGTCTTATACCATTATTTTGATAACGAATAGATTTCAAATGTCTAGACCAATTTTTGTAACTAACTGTTAAGTTACATTTATCACAAGTTTTGTTGTACATTTTATTATTGTTAACATTTTCTTTAACATTGATTTCAATTTTTTTACTATCCATTATTTACTACAGAAAATATTTTTTTTTTTTACATTCGATTTTTTTTATAAATTCTATTTAAATAATATTAATATCCCATACTAAATCCACACATTTTAATATTTTCTAAATCTTGAACAATCCTAATATCATCTAGATAATAGTGATTATAATCACCTGTTGCAATAATTAAATCATTAGCTATATGCAGCGGCGGATTGGCCCACCGGGATACCGGGAAAGTTCCCGGTGGGCCGGTTGTCGTATTATAACTAGAGTTTCCACCTTTGAAAGAAAGCAGCCCCGGAGACAGGCCGATAAGCAAAAAAAAAAAAAAGGTCGTTTAGTCATAAATGTGGTCGTTAATGAATTACTTTTCAAATTCTGTGTAGTTTTATAATATCGATGCACGGTTACACTGACACAAAAATTAAAAGCAGATATTCGGATTTGATCAAACTCGACACTCGACTGTGATGTTGAACCTGATTCGTAAAATCGTAATCGTAGACTCATAAAGTCATAAACCGTAGTTCATAATCTTATTATTCTTGTTATCTAGAATAAATGGTTTTTATACCGGAAACTAATAAAAAAAATAATAATAAAAAATCGTATGTTATCTTATCTTTATCTCCGACCCGGAGAATAATTCACTGAAACCGGAGCCCGTAGATTTATACGTAAACCCGGATTCTCCGGGTGAAACCCGGAGAGGTGGCAACCCTAATTATAACTCTGGGCCGATGTATATTTTGGATTAAAAATTATTTTTAAGTATATTGTATTTAATTATAAGATAAGATTGTTATTGTTATAAAAACCTAAACGTGATGTAAACAATTCTACAATAATTTATTCTATAAATAATAGCTGCATGGTTAGTGAACTAAGGTAAAGTGATAAAAATA